GCTGATCAAATTTTTTGAACAAAATGTTTTTCTAAAGAAAAAGTCTTTCTAACAGAAAAATCCCCTTACCTCAAATTGCTGACACCAGCAAAGTGTTTTGGTTTTAATAAATGTAACTTTAGCGTCCTTGTAGCCAAGATGGAGTCTGCTCTGCAGGCAGCTCTGGCCAAGAGAAAGAGAGCGCAAGAATGCAGCAGGAAAAATCCCTTCCACCCCAGGGGCATCTGTTCCAAACCCCCGAGAGTGAACACACACATCCACAGGAAAAGTACAATGGATATAAGAAAGGGAAATATTTATTTACAGAGGGATAAGAGGAAAAAACAACAAGGGGAAATATAGGGGGAGCAGTAAGACAGGGCTGCATCCAAGCCAAGGCCCCACAGGCCCAGTGGTAGCACAGTCTGAAAGGGTAGACACTGAGCAATGTGTCTGCACACAGAGTTCAGAAGTCCTGAGCAAAGTTCCAGTCCAGTGGTGAGTATTGGGTGCTCCTGGTCGTCTTAAGTGCCAGTGAACTTTCCCCAACAAACCCCGCCAGTGCCCTCTTCTGCCACTCATTGAAAAGCCACACAGAGGGACTACCTCCCCTCTTAACTAGCTAGCAACCTCCCTCCTTATTCCCAATGCAGAGTCACAAGCCCCAGTGCTCACAGTCCCATGCAGCTCTGGGCAGCAGTGATACCGGGGCCAGTTCCAGCCTGTCCTTCTTGGGCGATTCCTCCCTGGCACAGTGCTCCTCCTGGCTCCTGTCCTGGGGTGTCCTCAGTCGGCTGCCCTGTCCTTCCCAGGCTTCAGGCAGGTCTCTGCTGCTTCACTTTGTGAGGGCTTGTGGGCTGCAGCACTTCTCTTTCTGGAGCTCCAGAGCCACACCCTGGAGTTTCCCTCCTTTGTCTCACTGCTCTCCCTCCCGCCTTAGGAAAAAGATTTAAAGGGGCCATGCTCTCTAATCCCCAAAGGGGTTAGTGTCTTTTCTCAATTTTCCCCATAACTTTTATAAAAAATATTACTGAAAATATGATTAAAGTTTTGACAACATTTTTGACAGAATTATTGGGAAAAGGAATTGCAACCATTTATTTTCTTAAAAAAGCATCCATTTCAATGTTTTAAAATGAAAACAACTTTGAAAATTTCCCCAAAAATTGGTTTTCATTTTTTCAATGAATTCTTTATATAAATATGAATACAACTACAAATAGATACATAGACCATGTATATTTCTCAGCATAATATACTGTAAATTAGGAGTTTAATTGTATTACTTTAACAGTTTCCAGTCTGGCTTCAGGACCTGATACAGTAGATGTGAAGTAATTCTTCCACTCTACTCTGCGCTGATAAGGCCTCAGCTGGAGTATTGTGTCCAGTTCTGGGGGCTACATTTTAGGAAAGATGTGGACAAATTGGAGAAAGTCCAGAGGAGAGCAACAAAAATGATTAAATGTCTAGAAAATATCACCTATGAGGGAAGATTGAAAAATTTGAGGTTTTTTTTAGTCTGGAGAAGAGAAGATTGAGGGGGGGACATAGCGGTTTTCAAATACATAAAAGATTGTTACAAGGAGGAGGGTGAAAAATTGTTCTCTTTTACCTCTGAGGATAGAACAAGAACCAGTGGGCTTAAATTGCAGCAAGGGAGGTTTAAGTTGGACATTGGGAAAAAACTTCCTAACTGTCAGGGCAGTTAGCACAGGAACAAATTGCCCGGGGAGGTTGTGGAATATTTGTCATTGGAGGTTTTTAAGAACTGGTTAGACAAACACTTGTCAGGAAAGTTCTAGTTGCTTTGAGTGCAGGGGACTGGACTAGATGACCTATGGAGGTCCTTTCCATTTCTACACTTTTGTGTGTGAGAGGGATGCCCCGGGTAGCACAGAGCCAGCCCCCTGCCACTCCTACTCCCATCCCCCAGTGTAGGGGTGTTCTGAGGAAAAAGGGGAGCCTGCACTCTGGAAAATTCCTAGTGTCTAGAACAACCCTTTGTGGCCAGGAGCAGCTGAGCAAAATGTAGAGCAGTTCAGATTCATTCACCTATGAATTACAAATACCAAACACTCACTGAATAATTTAAAAAATGAATGAATTTCAGGAGACTACAATCTATTTACAGAGAATTTATGAACTACAAAGGAGGCAAAATTAAATAAGAACATTTTTGCCTGACTCCAATTATACATATCATAATTTGAGCAGATATAAAGATGCCGCCATTGTAAATCACAGCAACCTCAAATATTTACACTATATATACTGAAAAATGGTAGATAAGGCATTTTAACTCAGTATAATTGGTTATGCAGAGAAACAGTTAATTTTTTATTTCTTTCACAGCAGCAAGTATTTCAGAAGTACAGATATGACAAGTTAATCCTTCACAGATATTACTTATAAAGGGAATTTGGAGAAAAATATGCATGTTTTAAGTTAAATAAATTGTTCATGGAATCCTTCAAAATAAGCTGTCACCTGTTACTAATTTTATTCTGAGCTAAAAAGGTTCTCTAAAAACAAAGATAGATAGATAGATAGATAGATTAGATAGATGGATAAAATGCATATCGTCTAGTGAGAAGTACATTTATACGATTAATATTTCTCACATATTTTGGGCCTGATCCAAACTCTATTTGAGTCCTTCCAGTAATGTTAATGGTTGTTGGATCTAGTCTATCATGCTTTTTTTCTGAGGATCTCAAAGTGCTATGCAGAGGTACATATTACAAATTAAGGCACAGAGATTTTAAATTAGGTCACAGAGTACATAAATAGCAGAATGAGGAATAGACTCTAGTCTCTTGGCTCCTAGTGTACTGCTTATTGCATCTAGATAGTATACTTGTATAACCCCCATTACTGTAGCATCTGAGCTCCTCACAATCTTTAATGTTTTTATCTTCACAACACCCTGTGAGAAAGGGATGTACTATTTTCTCTAAAGCACCTGTCACTTGTCGTTGAGAAAAAAAAAAAGAAACATGCCTATCAACAATCTGATCATGATGCTTGTATGGCAAATCCTATTTTCACTCCCATCATCTGTTTTTTGTTTTCCTAGATTGTAAACCCCTACATGCAAGAACTATGTCCTACTATGTGTTTGTACAGCACCAAGCACCATGAAGGGATCTTGATCTTGGCTGGGCTGTGGGGTGCTATTGTAATACAAATAATAAATGCTATAATAATACCCTTGGAGTAAATCAAGGGTGTCTTCTCAGAGAATCCCCTGAAGACATATAGCCTAAAGAGATTATTACAGCTGTGCAGGAACTGGAATTTCCATTTAATGGGAAATTCCAAAATTTCAACATTTGTTTTCATTCCATATCAGAACAAAATCAAAACATTTCAAAATTTTCCATTAAACTAAATTTTTGAAACAATTTGTTTTGGGCAGTCAAAATGTACCATTTTTATAAAGTTGAAAAGTTTCATTCCAGTTTCAACTTTTAAAATGTTATATGATAACTTAAAATAAATTTTGAAGTGAAAAGTAATTTCAAAATGGAAAATCAAAGCGTTTCATTCAGGTCTGGTTGAAATTGAACACTTCAAAATGCTCCATTCTGATTTTTTTCTAAATGTAATTTTGTTGAAATTGACACATTCTCTCCAAAAAAAAAGTTTTGATTTGGACAAAATGGGAATTTTCCATGGAATAAATGTTCTGTTGGAAAATTTTCAACCAGATCTAGGGATTATGTCCAGTATGGCTGGAACTGGACTTTTTTGGTATAAACTAGGAGTATGTCTTCACTACCCGCCGTATCGGCGGGTAGCAATCGATTTATCCGGGATCGATATATCGCGTCTCGTTAAGACGCGATATATCGATCTCCGAACGCACTCACCGTCGACTCCGGAACTCCACCAGAGTGAGCAGCGGTAGCGCAGTCGACGGGGGAGCCGTGGCCGTCGATCCTGTGCTGTCTGGACCCCAGGTAATTCGATCCAAGATACTTCGCGTAGCTGAAGTTGCGTATCTTGGATCGATCCCCTCCCCCCCAGTGTAGACCAGCCCTAGGTCTGTGTTTCAAACAATCCTCATTCCAAGAAAAACAGGGAGATTACAGAAGTAGGGCACAACATCTAGGTGGCTCTTATCTTAGAGATGCAGGCTCCTACTATGAGCAAGCACAGAATGAACACACAGATGAGACATCTGAGTTAACTGTGTGACAGTTATTGCCATAAGTAGCCCAAAAGACTAGAACAGTAGAAGTTAATATTATTTGGCCCTCAGTTCATCAGACTGATGACAGAAAAATAAAATCAAACTTTCATTACCCGAAGAATTCAAGTACACGTTTGTACTAATTTTCAAAGATTTAAAAGTCAGGCATTTGAATTCTGTATTGTAAACTAATATTGAAATTGAAGCTATGTGGGATAGTAATGCTAATACATCAAGTTACAGTATGACAATAACCACCACTGACAGTCTAACTGAATTAAGATAAGTTTCACAGCGCTGGGTGCCTGGAAGCAGAACATCACATTTGACAGATTTCTCCCAGCTAACATATCATCTTCTCCAAGGCAAATACCAGTGATTCTGAGGGACAGATGTTAAATGGAGCTAGATAGAACTAGTCTACATAATGGACAAATCCAGGAATCATCCTGGGGAAAGTCTGATAGATATTTAAGACTTTGTCGAGACCCATACAGACCTACCACTGATCTTGGAAGAGAAAATGATAACCTACCCATGCTAAGGAAAATGTGGAGTGCTAAGTATCATTCAGTCCTTGAGGGAAATACGCAAAAGGTGGAGTCAGAAAAACTGCTACAAACCGGATTGTGGTTCTGCAAGAACTGATATAAGGAGTCTAAAAGACTCCTGTTGAGTCCCATGTTGGCATGATAATAAGCAGAAAGAGTCTAGACACAGGAGGAAGAGTTTATAGTTGAAGTGATGTCAGATATGTTCTGATAGGTTAATTTGAATAGGGCAAGGTTATCACCTCTTTCTGGACATTGTTCATCTTCAGGTCACTGAAAAGCTGAGTTTGGAAGGCAGACTACAAAGAGTGAGGTTCACCATCATGGCCACTCCCACTCCCCGACACTGACATTTACCTTCATGCCTTTGGGCCTTTGTCCTGATCCTGAAAGATTTTCTGACCAGACTGGACAAGGAAGAGGGAACCAGATGACAACCCTCACCTCCCTCATGGTCAGGTAAATCATAAACAGCACCTGCAAATGTGCATCCTTCTCTTTGTTTTCTCTTTCCTTTTCAATTTTATTTTAATCTAACCCATCTCTATTCCTTAATCTTAACTCTACATACACTTTCCTTCTATATTTAGTCTAATTTTCTTCCATTCCCACTCCTCAATTTCTTTATTGCTTATATTCAAACTAGATTAAAGCCACCCATTTTTCTTGTCTGTGTTGTATAAACATATGAGAAACTAATTCTTATAATAATATTCTTTTGATACTGGCCATTAGTCTCGGAATTACCATTCTGTAATTAGCATGATCTTGATTTTTGAAGTCTGGTAATGGACATCTTCCTGTGTGTACTGTTTGATTATTTTCTAGATCTAGCTCCTCTTTAGAGTTAATTTTTCCTGTGTAATATTACTGCTATTGCCTCTGTCACATCACTCTAATCATGGGTTTGAAAAACTCCCTTTTCCCCTAAAATTTTGTATCTTGTCAACATATGAATAGTTCTTTGGTTCCTTGAAGACCAAAGTTACCTCCCCTCAACTTACTTTTAAGCTTATCTATTTTTTCTTCTAGTTTCCTTTTTCCTCCTTCCCTCCTTTTGATTCTTCCTTCATTCTTGTCTTTCCTCTTTCTTATCTTTTGTATCATTACTATGCTGTTACTTCCCCTCCCCAAAAAACCCATAGTCTCTAGAACCACAACTTGCACCAATTTGTCATTCAGTAGACGTGCCAAACAAGCATAACTTGTGCTGATTTGGAATTATGTCGGGAACTAACTGGACCCTGGCTTAGGCAAGTGCAACTCCCAGTAAACTCAACACAGAATTTACTTCCCCCCACATCCCTCGCAAGACTGTTGGGAATGATGAAGGTATAAGTAAATGATGGGCTGCATTATGCATTTTATGTTAAAATCTATTAGTTATTTTTCCTCTTGTACTTTTACTTACATAAAAACGGCCGTACTGGGTTAGACCAATGATCCTTATAGCCCAGTATCCTGTCTCTGACAGTGGCCAGTGCCAGGTGCTTCTGGCAGTTGGAGGTTTAAGGACACCTAGAGCTTCCGGTTGTGTCTCTGATCAAACTGGATCCTGTGCTGACCTATCCTCCATCATCTAATGTAATTTTTTTAACTCAGTTATACTTTTGGCCTTCACACCATCCCATGGGAACAAATTCTATAGACTGATTATGCATTGTGTGAAGAAATACTTAGTTTTGTTTGTTTAAACTTGCCACCTATTAATTTAATCAGGTGATCCCTAGTTCTTGTGTTATGTGAAGGAGTAAATAACACTTTCCTATTCATTTTCTCCACCCATTCATGATTTTATAGATCTCTATCATCTCCCCCCTTAGTTGTCTCTTTTTTCTAAGTTGAACAGTCTCCTTGGACAGAAGCTGTTCCATACCCCTTATCATTTTAGTTGCCCATCTTTTTCAATTCTAATATATCTTTCATGAAATGGGGTGACCAGAACTGTATGCTGTATTCAAGGTGTAGGAGTACCAGGGATTTATATAGTAGCATTATGATATTTTATGTCTTACATCTATTCCTTTCCTAATGGTGCCTAACATTTTGTTAGATTTTTTGCTGCTTCTGCACATTACACAAAAGAAGGACTCTGGTGTGGAAATCTGCCTCACATCCTCTGCATTGAAGACTAACGTGAAGGATTAATTTAGCTTCTCCATAATGACCTTGTCTTCCTTGAGTGGTTCGTTAGCACCTCAATCATCCAGTGGCCCCAGTGACCATTTGGCAGGCTTCCTGCTTCTGATATACTTAAAAAAATTCTGTTAGTGTTTGTGTCCTTAGCTAGTTAGTCTTCAAATTCTGACTTACTATACTTTTATACTTAATTTGCCAGAGTTTATTCTCCTTTCTATTTTCCTCACTTGGATTTGACTTGCAATTTTTAAAGGATGCCTTTTTGCCTCTAACTGCCTCTTTTACTCTGCTATTTGGCCATAATGGCATTTTTTGGCCCTCTTACTGTTTTTTTTTGTATTTTTGGTATTTGGGGTATATATTTAGTTTGAGTCGCTATTGTGGTGTTTTAAAATAATCTTCATGCAGTTTGCAGGCATTTCACCTTGTGACTGTTCCTTTTCACTTCCATTTAACTAGCTACACTACATTTTTGTGTAGTTTCCCTTTTTGAAGTTAAATGCTATCGTGGTGGGTTTCTTTGGCATTTTCCTCCACAAGGATTTTAAATTTAATTACATTATGGAAGGTACCATATCAGAACATGAGTGGGTGCAATGTTTATACTTCTTGCTTCCAGAAATAGTAGTAAATCTTCCTCATATTTGGTATTTTAACTCTTTCTTTTTATTACTCTCTCCATATATGGAATGGAAAAGGTGGTCCAAAACAGCAACAAAACAATATTATGCCTATGAAGAATGCAACTGAAAATGTGATACCATTTATGTAAATCAATGCTATGATCTTACCCCGCATATTGTGTTCAGTTCTGTCACCCCATTTCTGCCAAATTTCCAACCTACATTAGTGAAGAGAGATTGAAAAGACTGTTTTTAGTTTAGAAAGACAACAAAAAAGATGGGAATGGATACAGATACATACATTAATGCATGATATAGACAAAGTAAATCAGGCACTTATATTTACCCTCTCTCATAATACCAAGAAGAAGTGGACATCCAATAAAATTGAAAGGCAATAATTTTAATATACCTTTTACACAGCATATAATAAACACGTGGAACTAATTGCCTCACTACATTGAGTCCAGAAACTCTACAGTATTCAAAAGAAGAGTGAGATTTATATGGATAATTAGATAGGATATGAAATCTAAGGGACAGAAATCCTCATGCTCTAGAGCATAGAATCATAGAACTGGAAGGGACCTTGAGAGGTCATTTAGTCCAGTCTCCTGCATAAGCCAACTGCCTAGAATTAAGAAGCAATTTCCCCTAATGGAGGTTATTTTGTAATTGCCCATTCTGGAAATTCTTGCATCTTCTTCTGAAGCACCAGCCATTGCTGGAGACTTGATACTGAACTTGATAAACCACTGCTTTGATCCAGCATGGCAATTATTGCTTCTATGATACCACGGGTGAACCCAAATCAAACTTTCCCAAAGCTGAGGCAGAGGCTATTTGGATTCAGGGTGTTTATTTGTTTTGTTGTGTTTTGTTTGATCTGAGACCATCTCTTGTTTTAAACTGCAAGTCACAATACATAGTAAATTTTGACATGTTCTGAAAGACAACTGTTCGCTGTGTTGCATACTTCTAGTCCAGTTTTGCCTGTTTGAAAAACTAATTACAATTTGTTTATTTTATAAATGACACTATTCCAAACTTGAGAAATTAAATGAGTGTTTTGGACTTGTATCTGCTTTTTAGTTAGATTTTTTTCCCCAATGTGTTCATAATGATGGAGTAGACAGAAAGAGATAACAGAGCTACTAATATTAGTGCCACTAAGAAACAAATAAGGCAATTAAAAACACACACAGTTTCTGTACCATGATCCTTTGCTAAGACATTTACTTACAGACTTCCCTGTAAAGCCACAACAACTGTTTTAGAATTAGAAATATTGACTGCTTCATTATCAAGACTAACTTTATTCACTAAATACAAAGGGAGGGGGTTCTGAAAGTCACTTCCACTGAGAGCCAAATATTTATTTACTTTTCAAGATCTAGCTCTTTTTAGCCATGAGAGAGCTGAAGCCATCCCTGCTATTTTCACATCACTAAATGGCAGTGTGACTAACTATTGCTTTAAAACCAATTTAGTTAATAATATAGGGTGAAATCCCATCCCTCTCATCCACAGGTGCAGAGGCCCCTTACTGCAGCATAACACCTGCATATCCCATCTCTGCAGAAAATCTTTCCTCTCTGCTCTTGGAGGTAGATTCATCAGTCATTCAGTTGCCCTGGGGCTTTGATTACAATGGTGGTTCTTAACCAGGGGTATGCAGAGGTCTTCCAGAGGGTAACTCATCTAGATATTTGCTTAGTTTTACAACAAGCTACATAAAAAGCACTAGCAAAGTCAGTACAAACTAACATTTCATACAATGACTTGTTTATACTGTTCTATATACTATCCACTGAAATGTAAGTACAATATTTATATCCCAATGGATTTATTTTATAATTATATGGTAAAAATGAGAATGTATGCAATTTTTCAATAATAGTGTGCTGTGGCACTTCTGTATTTTTATGTCTGATTTTGTAAGCAAGTAGTTTTTAAGTGAGGTGAAACTTGGGGGCATGCAAGACAAATCAGACTCCTGAAAGGGGTACAGTAGTCTGGCAAGGTTGAGAGCCACTGGTTTACAAGAAGAAAGGAGGCTGCTGAGACTGCATTAGTGGCCAGAGAGGCTTCACTCTCTGATCTGGGGAGAGGGAGATGCCTTCCTCTCTTGACTCCTGTGCCAAGCTTTCCTACTGGGCTTGCCAAAAAAGAAAGACATACCTGAAGGTAATCCAAACACTGCCTAAGAAGAGTAGGCCCAAGAAAGCTATAGTTCTCTTCATTACTGATAGTAATCTCTTCATGAACCCTTGTGTAATAATATCTGGTGGTTAATTGCATATGCCCTAAAAGGGTAAATTAGGCCCAATTAACCTATAGGTGGCACGTGGAGGAAGAGCCAGGGAGCAGGGATTGATTAATCAGACAGGACGCTCAGCTGGACAGGAATAGTGAGGTAGTTGGCAACAGAAAGAGGTTGTAGGAAAGTAGTCCCTGGGAGAAGGGAGGGGTGTTGGGATTATAGTGGACAGCCCACAGTTACTCCCTCGGAGGAGGGAGGATGGTGAACTCAAAGAGAAGGGGGAGCCAGGAAGGTAGGAGATCAGGGGGAAAGCAGCAAGGAATTGGAGTGCAGATCTTAACTGCTGATTAGAGACACCCTGAGCTGGAACCTGGAGTAGATGGCAGGCTTGGGTTCCCCTACTAACCAATGGGCATGTGGCATAGACCAGGTAG